TAAAACTGGCCACCTGCTCCACTCGGTCTCCATTGATAACCAGGGGCTGGACATCTAATCTGTTCCTTCTATAGTCCACTATAAGCTTCTTGGTTTTATTGATAGGAAGGGCCAAATGATTGTCTCCGCACCACGAAAGCAGCCGGTCCACCTCATCCCGGTAGGCAGACTCATCTCCTTCGGAAATAAGCCCCACCCCTGTTGTATCATCTTCAAAATTAATTATAATATTGCTGGAGTGAGTGGGGGTACAGTCATATGTATAATGAGTGTAAAGTAAGGGACTCAACACGCAGCCCTGTGGGGAGCCAGTGTTGAGAGTAAGAGCTGAGGAGATATAATTGCCTAAATCCAACCCTCTGGGAGCAGCCAGACAGGAAGTCCAAAATCCAAGAACAGATTGAATATGGAAGCTCAAGATCCATAAGTTTATGTGGAAGGATTGTGTTGAATGCAGAGCTAAAGTCTACGAAAAGCATCCTCACACAGGTCGCCCACTGTTCCAGATGAGTCAGAGCCGTGTGGAGAGTGATGGCTGTAGCGTCCTCTGCGGATCTATTAGTTCTATATGCAAACTGATGTTCATCAAATGCATGCGGAAGGCAGGAAATGATGTGCCTGCAGACCAATTTTTCAAAGCACTTCAGGAGAAGAACAGGTGCAGTCAGGCTACAACAGGGGTGAGATGGGTGGGTGCCCCTCGCCCACCTCTGGGAAAGTGAGGGTCAGGGGTCTCCAGAGCCAAGGAGACAAACGAAGACATTTTGTGCCCTCCAGATTGCGCCCGCCCAAGGGTGGGGTTTCAAAGGTGTGATTTTGGCTGCGTCCCCACAATGCGCCCAACCTGGATCCTGAATTAAGCTGTTTTCTAGGTTCACACAATACGTAGAACGATAAACTAACCATATAATTGTAACTAACCATTTAATAAACTAACCATTTCATTGTATATTTATTTATTCTTTTAATATGTTGTGAGCCACCCAAAGTCCCCCATTGGGGGGAGATGGGTGGGGACAAGATAGATAGATAGATAGATAGATAGATAGATAGATAGATAGATAGATAGATAGATAGATAGATAAGGGCTAGCTTCACACGGCACTAAACCTAACCAATACACACCCCCACACAAACCAAGTTTGAAACAAACCAAGTTTGAAACAAACCAAGT